GTGGTTGAAGCGCTTCTCTGGCCGCTCCCGCCAGTCCCTTTGCGTCAGGTCTGAGGATGCCCAGGGGTCTCAGGTTTGCGGGTTTGTCAGAGGGCTTGCCCGGCTTGGGTATTAAACAGAGATCTGCGTCGACGAGGTCGGATTCTAGACTGTCCTCGGCCTGCTTGGATGCTACGTGTTCGGAGAGGACCGGTGCAACGAGATCGCTACACAGCCTCCATACAGCCGCTGGTGCCGCTCCGTCAGGAACAGCTTTATTCGGCTTGATGGAATGTATGTGAGCTGCTAGTTTGGGCGGCTCCAAAGCAGGGAAAGCTCCATGCATTGTCCGTAACGGAGGGTGGGCCGCAAATACCTGATTGGCATAGTCCCTGAGGGCTGCTAGTTCCTGCGCTGGACCTAGGAGATGTCCTGTGTTGTCCTTTAGCTGAGCTCTGCGCGCAGGCTGCCAAGGCTGTAGCTTTTTGAGGGTCTGGAAGGAGATATGTTGATCACCTTCAGCTAGACACGCGTCCACCTCCGATATGAAACTCGCAATTCGATCTTTCTTTGCTTGTTTCACTGCCTGGCGGTGTGCCACTTGTGCCAGCTCAGCTTCGGTTTCCGGCGGACGTGGCGTGTTCTGATTAGGAGGCTGTGCCATTGCTTTAGGTGACTCGATCAGCTGTGCTGAGGGAGTGGTATTCGCAGCCCTGTCATGGGTGCGGGCCCGCCACATGCGACGGGTTTCCGATTCCAGCGGGATCGGTCTTCTTTTGGGAATTTTTGGGAAAAAGCGTTCTGCACCTTCCAAAAGCAACGCATTCCATGCCTTGGGGTCCTGGCAGGTGTCGATTCTGGAAGCGATCCAGTTGTGCAGGGCCTTGGCCGTATCGTCCTCCTCCCTGACTGAGGCTTGTAGAGCTAGTGAATCATACCGGCGCGTGCTGGGCTTGTGGGATGGGAGCAGCCAGTGGTGTTGGAGGGGTACGTCAGCCTTGAGAGGGTAATGCCCTCCTTTCTTCCAGCTGCCCAACGGACAGTCCACCCAAGGGGCTGACCGTTTGGCTTTGCCTCCCGCCGTAGATTCTTTGGTTAGAATGAAGTCGATTTGCGACTCCACGCCTCCTTGTGAGAAGGTAGCTATATGGTCACATTGCCAGGTGTTAAGGGCAACCAAACGCAGCCTGAGCAGCAGATTGAACAAGTTGGATTCGTCAGGGCGGTCCTCAGTGGGTGGCTTCACGTGCGTTCCCACCAATGGAGAGCTCGGACGCAGGGAGGTGTTAAAATCGCCTGCTACAATAAGGGAGTCCCTCTTAGGCACCTGCTTGATCACCTTGGACATGACAGATAGTACCTTAGCACGGTCGTCCTTATTGGACTGGATGGTCTTGGCAGAAGACCAAGCGTGTTGGTACACCGCGACAACAACCAGCCGAGTACCTGCAATGTCCGCACGAGCTTCTAAGACTCTACCCGGGCTCCACTCCTTCCAGCGTAAGCTCTTGGGGACGAACTTGGGAGAGAATAGGATCATGACTCCATCAGCGCGAGTCGTGGATGGAGCTCGCGGTTCTTGCCGAGTGTTTCGCTTCGCTGCTTGTTTAGGCCGGGTGTTGGGTTTGGTAGACTCCGAGGCTGAGGAGATACAGTACCACCCAGAAACGCTGAATTCACTGGTCTCAGTCCAGTGCGTTTCCTGCAATATGAGGATGTCGCAGTGATGAGAGGCTTCAGCTGCTAGCCACGTTTTGAGTTCGCCCCATTGCTGTTGGCCTAGGTGGCCCGCGTTCCACGAAAGAACTCGAATGGATCTTTCCAACCTTCCTGCCCTGCGGGAGGCTGTGCCATATGCAGGGGAGTCAGCAGTCTGTGACTGAAGCTCTCTTCGAGTGGGTGGGGGGCGCACCCCCAGACGATCAACCAGGGTAGGTGTCAGAACCTGCCCTCGGTATGGTACGGGCCCGTCACTACGGACTGTCCTTCTACATGCTGTCTTGAACGAATTCTTACGAAGAGATGCAAAGTTTTGTGAGTGCACTGGCAATTGCGCCATCCGCTACTTTCGTCAAGAGACAGAAGCCTAATGACTCCCTCCACCGCGCGGAGGTGGAAACCCTACCGCCTACCCAGTGTTGCAATGTTTTAAACAGAGTCTGGGCCCAGGAATTGGGACCTGGCGGCTCAAAGCAGCTCCTGTGAGAGAAGGGAGAGGACCATGGCGTAGAAGGAGGCGCAAACCTTTACTGTTCAGAAAAGGGCCGGTTGGAACCTCTAGCACAGCAGTTGCGCCCCAAGCCTGTTCGAAACCTCTCATTCAGCGCGGCCGCTTGAGCACTTGTGGCGGCTACTACTACTACTACTACTACTACTACTACTACTACGACGACTACTACTACGACGACGACGACTACTACTACGGCTATTAGTGCTACTAATGGTATTTATGCTCCTCATGGTATTAATGCTACTAATGGTTTTAATCCTGCTAATGCTACTATTGCTACTAGTACTTCTACAACTACTACTACCAGTGCTATTAGTATTAATACTAGTACTGGCATAGGTGCTGTAGCAGCAGTAGACACAGTAGTAGTAGCAGTAGTACTAGTAGTCGTAGTCGTAGTCGTAGTCGTAGTCGTAATCGTAGTCGTAGTCGTAGTCGTAGTCGTAGTCGTAGTAGTAGTAGTAGTAGTAGTAGTAGTAGTAGTAGTAGTAGTAGTAGTAGTAGTAGTACCACTACCACTCCTGCGACGACAAGCCACCGGATTAGTATTATTACCACTAGTTCTGTAGCAAAAATAGAAAAAGCCACTAATTCCCGAGAGGCTTCCGGGAGGTCGACTTTTGCTTGGTTTTGCTACAGTGGAGGGGCTCGTCGAGGGACGGTTCCGGGAATTGAACTTATACCACAGCTATCGCGAGACAGGGTACATGCAAGGGAATTCAGGGAATTCCCGAAAATCTTCCCGGAGGTCGGCTGTCGCATGACTTTGTTCGCATGGCGGTGCACGTCAGGGGACGGTTCCGGGATTTACCCGGTGCTCTTACCGGTACTGGTACTAGTACTGGTACTAACACTAAGACCAGTACTAGTATTAGTACTGGTACTTGTATTAGTACGGGTACTACTACTTTTACTCCTGCAATAACAGAAACTACTATTACTACGGCTGCTATACTACTACCACCAGACTAGCACTGCTTAGTACTAGTTTTGTCGCAACAGTAGAAAGCCGCTAATTCCCGAAAGGTTTCCGGGAGGTCGACTCTTGCTTGGTTTTGCTACAGTGGAGGGGCACGTCGGGGCACGGTTCCAGGATTTGAGCTTATACCAAGACTATCGGGAGCCAGGGTATATCCAAGGGAATTCCCGAAAGTCTTCCCGGAGGTCGGCTGTCACATGACTTTCCCCGCATGGTGGTGCACGTCAGGGGACGTTTCCAGGATTTACGCGGTGCTCTTACCGGTACTGGTCCTAGTACTGGTACTAACTTTTTAATACCAGTACTACTATTAGTATTGGTACTTGTACTAGTACGGGTACTACTACTGTTACTCCTGCAATAACAGCAACTACTATTACTACGGCTGCTATACTACTACCACGAGACTAGTACTGCTTAGTGCTAGTTCTGCAGCCAAAGTAGAAAGCCACTAATTCCCGAAAGGTTTCCGGGAGGTCGACTCTGGCCTGGTTTTGCTACAGTGGAGGGGCACGTCGGGGGTCAATTCCGGGAATTGAACTTATACCAAGGCTATCGCGAGCCAGGGTATATCCAAGGGAATTCCCGACAGTCTTCCCGGAGGTCGGCTGTCACATGGCTTTCTTCGCGTGTCGGTGCACGTCGGGGGACGGTTCCGGGGTTTCCCGGTGCTCGTATCCTTTTTTAAACGCGAGGAATTTCGTTTTTAAATGTTTGTAAACATGTGTAAAACATCTTAAAAAGGCAATGTTCAGGCAAAACATAGCATGTAGGACCACTGACTGCATCCTCCCTCGAATCAGTGTTGAAACTGTTTCGGCTTTGGTGGCTAATTAGTTTTTCGAACTCGGATTTTCAGGTTTGTGGTACTGTGGACTAGGTTGGTTCAGGCAGCACTGCACGCTTCAACAACGTTTGGCACTGCCTCACTTGCATATTTTGCTCGAGCTGCGGTCGTTCAACTTTCCTTTTCAACATTCCACTATCTTGGATTTCAAGCTGTTCTCCATTCTTTGATTGGTGTTGATAGTCGTGTCCTTTGCGTCTTCAACCCTGAAAATAGAACGTTCTTGCTTTAGCAGCGAGACGCCAATTTTGTTCATCTCTGTCCTGTGTTTGTGATAAAATGGAAAAATTCAATTGCACAAACAAGCAACGACGCTTAGCTCCACCACCACCACCACCAGCAGTTTCCAAACAAAAAGTCAAATATGAGCTAATTACTTTGGGCTCCACAACCCAACACAACTGTCACAGTTAGAAAGCGATGGGCACCCAGAAAAAATTCAGAGCTTTTGTTTCTTCTGCAAGTTTCGGCGGTTACTTGATTGCTTGGTTGAGACTGAACAGACAGCTCCCCAACGTTCCCCAGCACATAATTCCCGAAAACGTCTTGCATCAGTCACACGTTGGAGTGATGCCAGAAATCCAGTAAGGGACGTATGAAAATGCATTCGGGATTTTCTGACCCCCCCCAGGCCCAATTCATGGATGATAACTGCATAGCCACTGGCTGTCTTAAGACTGCTTCCAGCCGCATGCAGCCGAAAGCATTTCCTTACTACAGCACTACAGCATGGAGACTGCTAGTTGTCTGCCACGGCGGTAAATAGACTTTGCAATCAACATGAGCGTGATGAAATGTGGATCGAAGCAGCGGCGTAGCCGTCACTTGTTTCCAATGCGCTTTGCAAAAATCAGAGGAGCAACGTAATTCTCATGGATACGTAGGTTCTACGGCATCATTCCGAATCATTCCTATCCCGCCTTCCCAAGCCGTTCGTATTACCCCTGTGCCCTCGGGCAGTTCAGGTTTGCACCACCTTCGTGGCCGCCTCGCCCGGTGTCCAGGTTTCCGGAGAGCCGGGACCCTGCAACAGTTCATCTACCGCATATGGCACGCACAATCCCAAACTCGACCATTGTTTCGACTGTGCACGACTTCCCTGCAGCCAGCAGTTTTCCATGCTGGCGATTGGATTCAGAGTCTTGCTCATGTTCCAAGTGCAGTGTTGTGAACGGCAGGGACGTGTAATCTCTCATCATGTTGCAGAATCGGGTTCATGTTGTTGTGGCGTGGTTTCGGAGCCGGGAGCCAGGAAGTCTAATGTGATTCTCTGACCTGGTTGCTGCTGACTCTTCGCTGCTCTCTGCTGACAACAGTCTGTAAGCGCCTGCGACACTCGTTGATCCCTGTGGCTCACATACTCGCCCTACTGATGTGGCTTCACGAGGTGCCTGCCTTCTTGCATGTTTTGGTGGTTTCGTCCTGTAGCGGCGTAGCGACTGCAACAGTTCAAGCTATGCTCAAGGCACGCCAGAGTTTACATGGACAGCATCCTGGCAGTGTGCCGCCAAGGTACTTCATGCGATGCCGGCCCGCCGAAGCCCCAGAGGCCAGCTGCTAACGTTCCGGGTGGGGGTTTGGCGGTTGTTGGTCAGTCGCAAACGTTCGATACGGATCCAAATCGTTACTCGCAATGAGGTGCTTGCAACTTGAACTGCACCTGCGGATGTGAGCTGCATTGGCTCCACAGAGTTTGGTAGTTGGTCGGGAAACCGCCAAGCGACATCATGGCTGAGCCCGTGGACATGATGGTCATGGCCTGCCAAGACCCGTCTTGCGACTTCAAGCCTATGAAGATGAAGAGGCGTCCTCTCGGAGACGAGGACGTGCTGATCGACATGGTCTACTGTGGCCGGTCCGGTGAATATCTTGAGAACTTACTGGAGTGTTCCGGGATCTTGACAAGTACCTCGGACACGCAGTTGCTTCTTTCACTGAGGTGGGGTTTGTCACACGGACTTGCACATCGCAGCGAACCATGTTGGAGGTGCGACCGTGAAGAATCACGTGCGCCTGAGCTCCACCTGCTGACACGCCTGGCAGGTCTGCAGGCGACTGTGTACCCATGCGTTCCCGGTCATGAACTAGTAGGTGTGCCCCTCGTCTGAAGACTTCAAAAGGAAATTAGAGCCGTAAACACCTTCTAACACATGTTCTGACATTCGGCCAGACGATTATAGTTTTAAAACACGTCGTCAGTCAATGACCGCGATGCAAGCTCTTGTCGTAAGCTGCTCCTTTTTGACGTGTGAGTGACAGCGTCTGTGTGAGTTTTCCGTCTAGGCGAGCAGGTCAGCGCACCGCATGATAGTAGCACGAATCTATGACAATCGTTCGGCATCCGTGAAAGCTTGGCACCTGTTTCTGGACCTCGGGGCTTGTTTATCCAGGAAACTGACAGTAGACATGCCATGATTAGTACCACAACTCGCCCATTAGCTGCACGACATTGACCAACCTTTTTCAGTCAAGGTGCACCAGAGTTGGATCCAAGGTGACCAAGGTCAAGGTTGGCAACTGTGTCGGCGATTAGTGTTGCTGGTAGCTTACTAACGGCACGGACGGGCTTTTCAAGGGCTCTCCAACGGGATCCCCATTGGAGAGAAGAACCACAGTGGGAGGGAGCAGTGCGTAGCAGCTCAAGCAAGCAAGCTGGGTTCGCCGCGGCGGCACTCACTTACGTGTCTTATTTGCGATCAATGCGGTGATATGTGGCGTCTGATCTGGAACTTGGCCCTGCAAACGGAATCATGATTTTTTGTTTAAGGCATTTTGTTGTTTTTTGTGTGTGGTGTGTGTGTGTGTGTTTTTCTTCTTGGCTTCTGGGCTTTCCTTGCTGCTTTGCTGTCTTCTTTTGGCTTCTTGGCTTCTGGGCATTCCTTCCTGGTTTGCTGTCTTCTTGGCTTCCAAAGTTTGCTTCTTACCGTTGAAACTATTTGGCTTCCTGGCTTCTTAACCTTGGTTTGGCTTCCTGGCTTCTCCACCTTGGCTTTCCGGCTTTGTGGCTTCTCTGGCTTCCTGGCTTCGCAGCTTCCTGGCTTCTTGGTTGTTTACATAGACTTCCAAACTTCCGGGCTTCTGGGCTTCGTATTTTGAACACATTCTAACTTCTGGGCTTTGCATCTTGGCTTTCCAGCTTGTTGGCTTCTTGGATTCCTGGCTTCTTGGCTTTGCAATACATTTCCGCATGTCCTGCGTATCAGATATAAAATCCATGAGGCTTTCTATGTTTTTCTGGCGCGTCTGTGATATGTCATCAACCTGGATCGCCAAATGACGGGGCGCATCTAAGATATATATTTTAATGAACCGGAATCGCCAAATGAGGGGGTGTCTCTAAGAAATGTAATCAAGCGAGATGGCGAAACGAAAGGAATTGGGTTTCAGATACGTGAACAGGCAGGATCGCAAGATAACATTCAGAGTCGCTTGATGAGTGAGCGGGTTAAGAAAATGTGATTAAGCAACTTCGCCAAACGAGGAGGCAGGCTGAAGAAAAGCGATGAACCGGGATCGCCAATGGAGCGGGCGGGTTTAGTAAACTTACCAACTGAACTGGGATCGTCAAATGAGGGGGCAAGTTTTAGATATGTGATGACCCGGGATGGCCAAATGGAAGGGCTGGCTTAAGACACACGATCAACCGGGATCGCCAAAAAATGTGGGTTTAAGACATGTGATCAACCGGAATCCAAACGAGGGCACAGGTCTGAGGTATGCGGTCAACCGGGGGTCACTAAAAGAACGGCCGTGCTTAGGACACGTGATGAACCGGGATCGCCGAAGGAGGTGTGATCGACCGAGGTCGCCGAATGAGGGGACGCATTTATGTGACGAACCGGAATCGCCACGTGAAGCGGGGGGGCGTGTTTAATGTATCTGATGAATCGGCCTTGAGCCTGTTGAGGAGATGATAAACCGGAGTCGCCAATTGAGGAGCACGTTACGGATGTCGGATGAACCGGAGGTGCCAAAGGAGCGGGCGTGCTTAAGATTTACGATGAATCGGAATCGCAAAAGAGGGGGCGTGTTCAAGATAGTACATGATTGATCGGTCCTTTACCTGTTGAAGATAGATGATGAACCGGAGTCGCCAAATGAGGACGCGTGTTTAAGATATATGAAGAGCCAGGATCGCCAAATTAGAGGGCATGTGTAAGATACATGATGAATCCGAATCGCCAAATGAGGGGTGTGTCTCAGATGAATGTTGAATAATTTGAATAGGAATCGGCAAATGAGGGGCGTGTGTAAGATATATGATGAACCGGAATCGCCAAATGATGGGTCGTGTGTAAGATATATGATGAACCGGAATCGCCAAATGATGGGTCGTGTGTAAGATATATGATGAACCGGAATCGCCAAATGATGGGGCGTGTTAAGGATATATGATGAACTGGAATCGCCAAATAAAGGGGCCTGGTTGAGATATATGATGAATCAGTCCGGAACCGATTCATGATGTAGAGGGGGTGTTGAAGATATCTGATGAAGCGGAATCGCCACATGAGGGGGCGCGTTTGAGAGACATGATGACTCGGAATCGCCAAATGCGAGTACGTGTGTACGATAGGTGTTGAACCGGAATCACCAAGCGAGGGGGCGCGTGATGCATGCTTAAGATAGATGATGAACTGGAAGTGCAAATGCATGTGTATGGGTTTTGTGTTAGTTGTTCGTGTTATTGCTGCTTTCAAGTTTCACTTGGTTATGGCCAAACGACGGGACGTGCAGTGTCGAACCGGAATCGGCAACGAGGGGGCATGTGCAAGATGTGTCACGAACCGGAATCGCCAAATGAGGAGGTGTGTTTAAGATATATGATGGTTTGGATTTGCAAATTGGTTTGTGTGTGTGTTTTGTGTTAGTCACCAAACGAGGTGGCGTGTTTAAGATAGATGGTGAACCGGAAGCGGCAAATGACGGGGCGTGCTACAGACATATGATGAACCGGAATCGCGAAAGAGGGGGCATGCTTAAGATATGTGATGAATCGGAATCGCCAAATTCAAACGAGGGGGCGTGATTGAGATACATGATAGAACGGAATCGCAAACGAGGGGGCGTGTTGTAGATATATGGCGAAGCGGCGTCGCAAAAGAGGGAGCAGTTTAGGATATGATGAACCCGAACCGCCAAAAGAGGGGCCGCGTTTAAGATATAGGATGAAACAGGAATCGCCAAATGAGGGGGGGTGCTGTAGATATTTGATGAACCGGAATCGCCAAATGAGGGGCGTGTGAAAGATACATGATGAACTTGAAGCGCCAAACGAAGGGGCGTGTTTAGGATTGAATCCGAGTCGCAAAAGAGGGGGCGTGTTTAAGATATATACTGAACCGGAATACCCAGAAAAAAATGCTAAGTGGCCCGGCAACCTCCGGATGACGTAGCAAGAATCGGGCTATTTTGCAAAGAACTTGCATGAGCCGAAAGGCCTGCAAATGTAGATTTAGGAAGGAGTGCCATTTCAAACGGCTTGGAGCTTGTAAATTACCTAGAGTTTGCGTAAACACAAAGAAAACAAACACATACCAGACAAAAACAAAACATACCTAACTTAATTTCGGAGCTCTGGCAAACTTGTTAAGGTTCTAGAAACGACATACGCCCCCTCAATTAGGTGATCATGTGGGCGTCGGCTGCATGGTGGACTCTTGCATGAAGTGCGCGGGGTGCAAGAAGGGCAATGAGAACCTGCTCCTCGGCGACTCTCGGTCTCATGCGCAACTCTAGCCTCGCTGCGACAGCGAAAAGCAGTGCACACGCCGCGCGTACTCTACTTTTACATGGAGTCTTGCGCATCGGCTTGTCGACGTTGCCTGTGCTTGGGGCAGGTGCCGCAAGCAGAACACGGCTACATATCAGGGGAAGGACAGCTGTTCATGCAAAACATGCAGATACAAGTAGGATACATTCAACAAGTCGGCCTTCGTCCTGATGGGTGGCCTTGTGTGCCGCGCACTTGCCAGGACCTGCACGGCCGAGCTGCAACGTATCCAACTGGTGGAGTCACCATGGGAGGTTATTGCACCAAAATGGTGGTGCCGGTCCTGGTTTTGACATTTCGATGTGAACCAAAACGAGAAATGGTCATAGTCTGCAAGAGCTTTCGACCAAGGTGCACGAGCACTTTGCAATCCTCATTCCCAAGAACTATCCATTGGCAAGTGCTGGTCCGGTCATGTGTGCAGGTGTCACCATGTGCCTTTGGCATCTTACGGCGGATGCTGTAGGTCCGATCGAGCGAAGTATGACTTGCAACAGAGGCGGCATCCGAGGTATGAGCCCTTGCGGTATTGGAAGGCTGGCCCGTCCAGCAAGGCTCGCACCAGTCAGGGTCGTGTTGATGTTAAGTCAGGTTCATTCGTGCAAGTGCAACAGGGCTGCTGGGCTGGAAGATCTGAGGTGGCAATTGTCGGCTTGGGAGGTTTGGGCATGACTCTTGGATGCAGATGCTTACCAGCACAGCCGTCAGCAGGTCGCTCTGAGGGTCGCGGCCCTTGCCCTTGAATGCCTGTCAGTCGCGAATCAAGAAGTCAGCGA